AAATCAATCCATCAAACTGAGCTAATATCCTCTTTTTGTGGAAGCGGGGCCAACTGGGCTGGCAGCAGTTGCTGTAGCCTGAACTACCGGCCACATGGATCCAATCATCTCACCCTGGAGCACTGGCATCTCCGAGAGCACAGGCAAACAACTACCGCTTTTACAACTTCTTCTTTACAGGCGCGCTCCTTTCACACAGCCGCACAATATCAATAAACATGTGTACACAGGAAGTTAAGAAGCTATCCTCCGGGCACCAAGTGTTGATGGGTGAAGAGGGGGCAGGTGAGGAGGGGGGAGTGGGAGGAGGGCCACAGTGAAGCGTTCGAAAGGGCTGAACCTGGACTGAAACCGAAAAGTCAAGCAACAATTCAACATTTTTGTTTAGTTGCTGGGATAAAATTGCTATACTTCAGATTCCTAATTTATCTTTTACTTCTGGGATGGCTACAGCTTTAAAGGTTAAGCAGGTCATTCAAAGTATCCTTGTGCAAGACACTGAACCCCAAGTTGTTCTTGATGCGCTCATTGGAGTGTGAATGTCAGACAGAACGCACTTAATGTAGAAAAAAGTGCTTGTGTGAATGTCGTATGAGGCACTTGAGCGAAGTAGAAAAGCGCTTTATAAGTACCAGTCAGTTTACTCCAAATCTATGAGTTCTTTTGCAGCTTGGAAAGAAACGAATACAGCATTGCTGCTCTCAGCATTTGCTCTCCGCACTGCAAAAGTTCCCTTTTGACATTGCAATTATACTGAATCGCTGGTGTTAGAATCTGCAGCACGCTCTGGTTCGATTGTGCATAAAGCTCCAATACACAGAAGGACATCCAGTGCAAACATGTACACCTCCATCTGCTAGTTCTGCATGGGAACCTTCAATCATACGAGCATGGGCCCCAGGGGAACTTTTCTTCAAGGCGGGAAGCTAATGGAGGACAGAGATGTGAGTAATCAGAGCAAAATGGGCAGGGACGAACGACCACAAGTGGCTGGTGCTCGTCGGGGGAATCTGGACGCAGAGGTTAGGCAGGGATAGGAAAACCACACTGGAAAACTGACTTGGGAATGGCATCTGGTTCCTATATCCACAGTGTATCACAATTAGCCGGCATAAGATGACTTTAATGTGTTATGTGTGTGTGTGTGTGTGTGTGTGTATGCTTGTTGTTATGTGTTTGGATGTTCTTGTGGGAGCAGGGACTCTGTGAACTGAGGAAGCCGATAGTGCGACTGGTTATATATTTACGTATGTGTGTGTGCGTTGTTTAAGTGGTATCAAATTATACAGGGAGGAGATCCTCCCTCCCGCAGGATCTCATCATTCCCGAGGAGAGAGGCATTTAAACAGCTTTAACACAAATTGTCAGCATGAAAAGCCAAATGTGCAGGCCAAATTTTTCCATGTGCAATACGTAAGCAAATTTCTGACCCACAAAATTCTTGTTGCGGACATGAAATGTTGAGGAACGGACAAGGCTCCACTTGGAAAAGTGTTTCTTTCGCTTCTTCTGCTGATTCGATCAGAACCGCACACTGGCTGCTTTTACATTTCTCATCATTTGATGTTGTGAGCAGGAGGAAAATTCCTTTCAATCACAAAGCTGTCAAGCTTTTTTCTCTCTCTCTCTCTCTAAAACTGCGAGCTTAACATTCATTCGGCGCTCCTTCAGCGCTACCGTTGCGACATCCAGTCATCCCTGTGAGTGTTCGGCTTGCTCAGCGAGCCAAAGTACGCGACTCGGTTGGCCCGAGAGCTGCACGTCGTCATTTACTGACAAACAAGCGCCGCTGATGGGCACAGTGTGAGCAGAGGACTAACGTCGAAAAGGTCAAACTCTCAATGTTGTCACATCCAGTGCCAGTAGGCTTGTTCAAGCACCGCTGCCCTTATGAGTCCAAGTAAACGCTGTCATGTCCGATAGATCCACTTTCAGCTCTCGGCGGGACTCTCTTCCCTGCCAAAGCCTGTGTGTTGTCTGCGCTCCGGCCTCTCCTGTGATGCTACGGCTGTTAGTGGACGCTTAGTTTTAAGCATACAGAACCCCACAACACAGCAAAAAGTGTAAATGAGCACGACTTGTGAGAATGCAAGGCTTCCTCCACAAACGTCTCCTCCTCTGCATGGCAGAAGTCATCAAACTCCAGCTGGAAGATGTTTTATTAACAGGTGTGGAGCCGCAGCGCATATCAGATGAAGGATGAAGAGTTGAGGGCGCCCGGATTCCTCTGCTTCACCCCAACATCGCCTCTAATCCCTGCTCCGCGACTGCATAATTCATAGATTGTGACAGATCAGCTCCAACCTGCAGCGCTGGAATCTGCGCGCAGATGAAGCGGGGAGGCGGAAACCTCTTGTCAAATACAGACACGACCAGATTTATTTACCTCATGGCTGCACTGTAGCCCTGCTTGGCCGCAGATTTCGTTGTGGTACACAGACACGCTTAAATGAGCTGAAGTTGGTTTGATGTTCCCAGTTTTTGTATCGCTTTCAAATATTTCCCCTCGTCTTTCTGACCAGATTTCAAAGCGTGCTACTTTCTCTCTCTGACTGTATCATTTTAATTTAGTATGGCATTCAGTTTGTGCTGAGAAAAAAAAACACTCATGCACACACAGATACACACAGTGGAGGGTGTTAGTGGGTACTTGACTGCAGCCTCAGGGATGGTGTTTTATGCTTGATTGGCACTAAATGGTGTGCACACGGAGTGGCGAGTGCTCGGGGTTGATGTTTTGACATGAAGCGGCTTTTTCAGAGACACAGAAAGATGAGAAAAGATTAAAAAAAACCAAGTAGGAAAGACATGATAACTTCGCCTCAGCTGTCAATTCGAAGAACCCCCACCCCCCTCCACCACCACCCCAGAGAATATTAATGTGCGGTAACCGAAAAAGAAAAATTTTTCGGGTTTCGGTGGCAAGGACGGGCAAATCGCTCCTCGTGTAAGTACTCTCAGTTGAAAATCATCTGTAAGGTGTCTCATTTGAACATTTTTCCAATCTGTCTGGAGAATAACAGGAGATCTCCAACAGCACGTCGCTGGACAATTGAGTCTGCGACGTGAAAGCTGACGGGCTCTGGAAAAAGACGAGGAAATCAAAACAAAGAAAATCGCTTTTCCATATCTGAAGGCAATCAGGAGCCGCCAAAGAAGATCTTCCCTGATGACTTTTGATTGAGGAGACCTATTCTCTTTCTGTCTCTGCAAACCGCAGGTCCCCGTGCGTTCATCGGTAGCTTAGTAACGATTAAGGCACATAGATCTGTAATGACTTCTGCAGCGGTCGGTTTGTTTGGCTCCGAGGGCTGTGTACAATTTACGCAGTGTTCCCAGAGTTATAGCGGGAACTGCTGAATATTCATGCCGACGTGTCCCCTGCCATCCTCCGGTTGGCCATACCAGATGTTAAAAAAGACCCATATGAGATCACTGACACCAGAATGGGCTTTTTTTATTTCAGAAACAGATTTGGTGAGCAGTGGGTGAGTCATTGCCAGATCACAGCTTTTTTTTCCCCTCGGAGCCATAAAAGCTGGACCCCTACCAAACATTTAGAGCACGTTGTGCTACCTATAAATGACTTCATCAGAAGGTGACCTGTTGGCCACAGCTGGAACACTGTCAGGTACTCATGCACAGCAGATTTACTGTCTCACTCAAAGAACCATCCTAATGAAGGCCTAAATAAAGATAAAGTAATAGCAGCATCCCATACGTTTATTGGCAAATCCACCGTCTCCTACTGCACAAACATTTCAGCGACGCTTCTGGGACTCCGATCAACTGTTGAGACACATCACAGTATGATTTTATTTGTCAGATCTAAGGCCTGGCGCGAGGGGCTGAGAAGTAAGACCACCTGCATTTACTTATGTCCCAGAACCCCGGGAGCGAGCGTCTGAGAAGGCTCGGAGGATTAACTTACAGCTTTTACAGCTCAGTCGGCACACACTATTATACCTATTCAATCACACCAGCCTTCTGGAATATAAAAAATTTTAACAGAGCTCACGCGCATGTACACACACACACACGCACCGACACACACAGAGTACCCGCTTGACCTGCTTTTGCTGCAAACTGTCACAAGCTCTGGCGATTATGTATGTATGTATGCTTCTCTCTTCATCTTTAGGGAAACTCTGAGGTTTTCCATCTGAAAGACGAGCGAATCTGCGATCACCCGGCGGTGTAATGAGGTGAGATAATCTCTTCGGGTTCAGGGCGCTGGCAGGGACAGATGCTGGTAGCGAGAATTTTATAAAGCAGGCTGCGCAGATGACGGGTGAGGGTGCCTCATAGGGGTAAGCCAGTGATAAAGAGTTTATTTTAATAAGTCAGCGAGACAGCTGCTGAAATTTCTGTCAGCAAGTGTGTTGTGATTTGTTATCTTTTACATAAACAGCAACAAAAAAAAAAAAAAAACACTTTTAAAAAAGTAACTTTGTCCTTAAAGTGCATTTCAGAAATAGCACTTAGGCAACTTATCAAAGATACATTATGAAATGATATAGCACAGTTATGTCCATCAGCTAAATCTGCATAGATGTTTAGCTTATGTTAGGGGAAAGACTGGGAGCGAACATAGTGAAGCCTCCATCATTCAAAACTCCCTAATTAACACGTTACATCTCGTTTCTTTAATCAATGCTAAATATCAGCGTTTAAACCCAGTGTAATTGTTTTAAGGAGGATTATGTGCAGGATTATTTCCTGAGAGCCTGAAGTATAAACCTCACCTGGTTCTTTCTTTCCTAAAATATCAAACATTTTCTTCTTCTTCTTGCTTGCATTTCTTTTTCTTGTACACAAATTGCTCTTTGCAGCACACATACCATCCCAACCTGCACTTGTCGAGTGCCCCTGCATGTGCCTTTTCCCCTGTAATCTTATACCTTACACAGCGGCATGCTGTCTGCACCTCTGTGCATGTCTTTTGCTCTGCCTTTACCTTTACGGGGTCATCACAAACGATGTGAAGCAGGCATACTTACAGGAGGTCCTGAAAAGAGAGAGGAAAAATCCCTGGTTAGTGTGTTTTCAATCAGCGATCAAACAGACACAGATCATCAATATTCCACTGGAACCACTTATCCAGAATTACTAAGAACAGAAATCAGCCTCTAGCTGAGAATTATTTTTTTGGATAGGACCGTCTTCACATTTCATCTTTGCCGCGATGCGTTCACTGACGATGAGGAATGGGAGAAAGACGGCCTCTTTCAGTAATCTTTCTACCTTACAGCAGAGAACAAAAGACTCCCAGCTATTTACCATACCGCGGTGGGGCCAACAACAGCCACCAGGCCTGGTGATCGCATTTTACATTTGCGAGTAGCTCCGATTTCACTGCTACAAGAGGTTGTGTGCTTGTTAAAGAAATACCCGCACTTTTTTTTTTTTGTGAGGTGACACTCGTCTTTTGCCCAATTACTGCTGCTCAAAGGACTCGGTGCCAGCGCACTTCAGGGCTCCCCAGAACCCTGCAAATCATTTGAGGTCTTCAGGTTCTTATTAAAAAGGTACCCAGCTGCTTTAACACTGAAATAGGATTTTTTTTCTCCTATGTCCTTGAACGCTTCTTCTTCATGACCACTGCAAATTGCTCCTACAGCTGGGGATTTTAAGGAGCCGCGTGTTTGAGCCTCACTGCTCGTTTGTTTTATGGCTCGTTGAGTTACAGTGGACCACTTAGTTTTTAATAAACCTGCTCCACTATGTTGTCGTTTTTTTAAGTGTTTCAGCTAGTAATTATGAGAAATCAAAGAAAAAAGTGTGATTTAAGGAAAGAAAAGGTACAATTTCCGATAAAGAACATAGCAGGCACCTTAAAGGTTTTAGGGTCTACAACTGTTACAGCTTCTTGACGGTCAGAGTAAAATCAAAAAGCACTATTAGCTGACACTGTAGCGTGTCATGTCTTTTATAATGCACAGTAAAAGTCACCAAGGCTCGGTTTCGCTTTCCGTTCTCACACCGTGACTTCCACTCGAACAAACGTTCAACCTTTCCGTGTGTAAAGTGGAACTGCTCACCTAATCCAAGCATCAATTCCTCCTTCTTTTTTTTTGTGAGCGCAGGAGTCACAGACCTGATTATTCAAACGGGGAAAAAATATGCGAGGAAACGTCTAACACTTTCCAGCATTGACCACCTGCTAGAACAGTCTGAGCCTGTGGCTTCTCAATGCTACAAAACCTTCTTCATCCTAAACTGTCCTGCCACAATTTTCCTTTCCATATGTTAGCGGTAAACAAACAAGAGATCCTAATGAAGTATCCCATTCATTTTTAATGCATAGGTAAACATCACCGTCTCTTTTTCCTATTTGTTCTTTCTGTCAGCGGAGCCAAGTGGTGGGTGAAATCTTCCTCCTACCTTTGTAGATGAGTAAACTGCAAAACACCTCAGCATGAATTTATGGGAAACTCGCGACGGCATAGTTTCTTTTGGTTAAAGTGAATCATGAATTAAATATGCTCCCCTTCAACATCCACCAGAGTTGAGAACTTAAAAGAGGGAAATTGGATTTGCAGAAGGCTTACGGTGCAGAATTCAGCATGCCCCTGCCCATCAAGGACTGCATTTCTTCAGTCGCATAAATAATGTCTCTTAAATATCTTTTCAGTTTCTCCCCAGTGCAGTTTGTTTTGAGCGTTTCTCTGGGATTCAGGCTGAATCTACTTTTTAAAGCAAGTCAAACACATCCTATTTGGGGGAATTCAGCGGAAATGACTGAACTAAAACTGCGTGTCAATCTGCAATTACACCGAGAGCATTCAAAGCTGCGTGCACGTGAGGATGTAGATAAAACATCCTTGTTATATCTGTTTCCCGACAAGATACTTCAATCCAGTCAGTGCTTCGGTTTGCAAATATTCTACTGAATGTCGGGGCCTGTCCTTACATTTGTTCCCTATTGTCTATTCTTAATAGACCGCTGTACCTCACCAGCCCAGGCATCATGAGTGGCCATGATTGCTTGCTTGTTTCCAATTGATTTGTCAAGAGGAAGCAATTCACATTCTCCGCATTTGCTCTGGCTGAACAGAGACCAAAAAAAAAATGTGTCTGAACAATGGTGCCATTTAAACTACGCTGGCATGGTGGATGTTCATTGGGAGGTTAAGCGCTGCATAAACAAAGCCTGGCGGTATCTCAGATCTGCAGCCAACCGGAACATTGGACCGCTGTCTTTCTGTAAACTCATTTTGTTATTATTATTATTTTATTTATTAATTTTTAAAATCTTTAAAGGCTTTCAGGCTGTGTGCAAGATCGCTATGGTAATTTGCAAATTAGAAAAAATAAAAGAAGAAAGAAACGTATAGCAGATCCACATCTCGAAACAAAAGCAGGAGCCTGGAAAGACTGGAAATACAGGAAATAAAAATACGAATACTGAGCAAGCAGATCTCAAATGATTCAGTTGAATTCCTCTGACTTCCTGTGCAAATTCCAGTGTTTGGTTCTGTCTACGAAACCAAAGCTGTTCTTTTTCAGTCTGCCTCACTAAGGCTGGGGACTTTGCTTCGCCCCGTCTTTCTGCCTTCCTTGTGCAAAGCTAATACTTTTTTTCCAAAGTGTTTTCTGTTTTCTGTGCTCTCGACCAAAAGGCCGACACACTCCAGATTCCATTATCACTTCCCGCTATCAGGTGAGCGGAGCGTGGACGCAGCTCGGCGCCAAGTACGTGTTCTCGCTGCGAATTCAATTTGAGGTGACACTTCCCGTGCCGGGGATTGTCACTGCGTGACACGTCCCAGCTGAGGCCCAGATGCCCGAGGCCTCAGCTGGGACAGATTGAGGAAGGGGAGAGGGGGAGACTGGAGATCCTGATTACATTATAGCAAGTCGCTGCTGAGTTTGTGGGGGTTGAGCTCGGGACAGCATATAAACATATCCACGCTGAGCGTAAGCACGGACATCAGCAGCTTCCACCAGGTTTCCAATCACTTTTTCTGTCCCTCAGCTTTACCGGGAAAATACAGTGTTTCTGCAGCGACTGCAGCTCAAACAATCCAAGCGGACGCTGAAACCAACCGGCCACAAATTACACATCTATAACCTATTTTGGCCTCCACAGATATACAGTGTACTTTTTACATGATTGCAGCACGATTTGCTAATGTCCTCCTGAATCATTCCTTAAACGTTTCTGGATTGAGAAAACTCGATTCAGATTCAGACAAACACACAAACACACAAATGTGCATACCAGGGTCTCCATTACGGCCTCTTCTTCCCCGCTTTCCCGGAGGTCCTGGGAAAAAAGAAGAAGAATGCGATTGTCATTTTGTTTGTGTAAGTTTCATATTCTACAAGTGTTCTCGCTCTCACTTTTACACACCAGGGTGAGGAAAAACCTCCAATGTGAAAAGTTCACATTGGAAAACCAAACACGTTCCAGCCTCACTGCTTATTAAGCATTGAGGCTTTATGTACGTGTAGACATAAGTCGAGGTGGAAGAAAGAACTCCAAGGTCTGCTTCATGCTGTCATTTGATTTCTTTCTGTCCTTTTAAAGGTTGTCTTTCAGCACGGATGCCCAGGTTTGAAATTTGTTTATCTTAACTAGCGCGTTTGTGTTTGCCATCTTCCTGTCAACACTATCATGCTGCTAAAGCTCAGCTGGAGGAGTAAAACAATTACACGCTTAGCCAGGTTTTACAAGTTGAAGGCTTGACTAGATCGTACTGAATACAGGTAATGCTTCAAAAAAAAGGAAGAAAAAGTGTAAATATCTCTAATTTCCTTTATAAAATGACTTTGAAGTAGTAATGTTAGTCTGTTCATGAGACCAGCCGCTAAAACTAATTTTCTTGTTTCTGGCTTTTTGTTGTCATTTCCACAGTAAAATGCCAGAATTTTAACATTTTTAACATGAAAACATTAAGCAACCATGTTTATATAGCTTCTCACTTGCATTGCACAGCCGCCAGGATCGACAGTTTGATTATTTTCTATTAATTTACTAACCTTACCTAACTCAGGGCCACTGTAGTCTGTGCTGGTTCTGGACTAATGGTATGACAAATCTAAACTAAACTCATTTCTAGTGCCAGTTCGAATGACTTATTAACAGCCTGAGTTGCCTTCAAGGGGGAGGAACTGACGGTCACAGTACTTGCGTGACAGGGTCGGGAGAAGTGTGTTTGTATGCAGTGGTATTCTTTACGCTTGACTAGCAGCTGTGAACAAACACACTGGCTAGTGTGTCTCCTCAAAAACATCCAAATTCTGACTTAACAAACTGGGTGAACATCAGTCTCAGGCAGTGGAAAACGTGCCGTATCAGTGGCTACTCCTATAATAAAGGAGTGTTTTTATAAAGGCAGAACTTGAGAAACCTGACAGATATAGGATTTTTGAGACCGATATTGTTATCGATATTTAAAAATTCGATATATTAGCTGATATTTTTTTCCAGGCACAAGAAACATAGATAGACTTCCATTAACACTTGTTCTGTGTAGTTATGTATTTCAAACATGGGTGTTGCCAACAGAGAAACTGCAACGCGTCCACTGGTGGATATAATATGCAACGTCAACAGCCATAACATGACTGAAGAACGTTATCAGCCATTATAAATGCAGATATTGCTATATCTGGCAGCACAACGGTGTGGTAATTAGCATTGTTGCTGCACAGCAAGAAGGTCCCGAGTTTGATTTCGGTTGATCTGATATCCTCGTGTTGGTGTTGTTCCCAGATCATCATACTAAATGTTGTTCCAGGATCAACATTGCAAGTGACCAATCAGAATGTTGTGACGTCATACTTTTGCGACTTCGGGAAAAAGCGGCGTAAAACAAAAAACTGTTCTAAAGCTGCGTGAAACCGCCTCTGTCCGCCGATCAACGGACCCTGACCCTAACCCTAACCGTAACCCTTTAATATACAGTAAGCAGAATTGATATTGTCCTTGCAACATTGGAATTTCATAAATGCACGAATGGCTTGGCGCGCAAAAGAATAACGTCACAACAATGTCATGGGTCACTTGCAATGTTGAACCTGGAACAACATTTTCATGATGGTCTGGGAACAACACCAACATGAGGATATCAGATCATCCTTTGATTTCACCCTTCTGTGTGGAGTTTGCATGTCCTCCCCGTGTTTGCGTGGAATCTCTCCGGCTCCCTCTCACAATCCAAAGACATGCAGTTAGTGGGATTAGGTTAATTGGTCATTCTAAATTGCCCATAAGTGTGAATGTGAGTTCAAATGGTTGTTTGTATCTATGCGTTAGCCCTGTGGAAGACTGATGACCTGCCCTTGGTGTACCCCGCCTCTCACCCTATGGTAGCTGGGATAGGCTCCAGCCCCCCGGTGACCCTGAAAAGGATAAGCGTAAGAGGATGGATGGGTGACGCTATATCAGCCACACTATCTTGCCAATAAATTAATGAGTTCTTTTTTAATCCCTATTTAATCAAAAAAATTGCATTGAGTCATCATGTTAGAGGTTCAAGATAATCACAGTCATGAAACAATTTCGGGTGACTCTGAACTCTCTCTAGGTAACACTGCAGTTATGCTGATGAGGGTTTCCCATGATGCACTGAGAGTTTCTTCTACATTCACCTCATCCTCACTCTCTATGTATTTATACACCGCTCTGCATTTAAATTTTAGTTATAATTGATCTTCTTCCCTGTCTTCCTCCCTTCAACCCCAATCAGATGGCTGCCACTCCCTAAACCTGGTTGTGCTGGAGGTTTCTTCCTGTTAGGAGAAGGTTTTTCCTTCCCACTGTCACCAAATGCTTGCTCATTTAGGTTTGTCTGATTGTTGGAATTCTCTATGTGTTATTGTAGGGTCTTTACGTTACAGTATAAAGCATCTTGAGGCAGTTTTTTTTTTGTTGATTTGGTGCTGTATATAAAACTGTACTGAATTGAGCAAAATAAATAGAATTGGTGAAAGTTTCTGAAGAGAGCGCACAGCACAGAATTAATTATTTGGGCATTAAAAGGTGCTCCAAGAAATGACTTTGATGCTAGGCTTTCATCTTCAGCTAAAGTATACAAGTATGCAAAACAATCATACTAATTACGAATCTAAATTGCTGAAATTGACCTCCATACCCTGCGTGCAAACCAGATGCATGCCTGTAAGTATGGTGCAAAACAAAAATAAAAATCCTGTTTATGCTGTGTTTGGCTGATTTATGACATTCCAGATGTGTCATTAGGGTGCAAAACACAGGATTATGTTGCACAACTCTTTGTATGATGCTAAGTGCTCAATTTGATACCACTGCTTGGCTCAGCCTCCACTTCCAACTTTGCTCCTTTTGAACCCTTTCCAGGATAATGTCAGCTGCTGCCAGTGAAGGGTCCAGGCAAAGTTTAAGGAATGAAACCACAGGTGGAGCCTGACTCTCACTTTACTGTGGTTCATATCAACCCTGGGTTCTCCATAGGTTTGTATTTTAAAAGAAACAGAAGGGGGTTTACTGTGTTTGGCAGTCACTTCATTATTGCTCACTTTGAAATGACACATGACACCTCAGAGAGGAATATTCTGTACGACAAGATGACATCCTTCTGATTTCAGTAAGATATTTTTGACAACCTTTAAGAAAATACTACCTTCGTGGGAGTGTGTGGTCCAGACGAAATACTCTACACGATTTTTAGATATCATCATGATTCCTAATATTCATCACAATATTTTTTATTCAGATTATAGGCTGTAAGGAGATATCGCCATAGAATCCAGACTATACACTGAAAAACTTGGTGAAGAGTGCTCTAAGCCAACAACAATATTTCAGTTTATGAAACATTAATGAAAGGATAACTTAACAATGTCTATAACGGCCAGTCCAAACACGTTTTCAGATGTATTCAAGTTTCCTTAAGACAAAAAAAAGTGACCAGAACCTCTTTTAAAAAGTGAAATCAACAGCTGGATTCTAGGGCGAGGGGAGACATTCGGCTGCCTGTTAAGGCAAAACATCACTCTTGCTCAAAAACATTGTTTTGGCCCGCTGTTTTCTCACAGTATCCCGTGTACAGCGGTTTCGGAAAAAAATGCGGCCGGGAATGTCATGACGTGGGTCACTAACTACGAACAATCTGTTGAAACCTTTACAGCAGATTTTAAAAATGAAAGTGAAATAAATCAGAGTGAATTTAATGTTCGTAGTAAATGTTTGGCCAGGCGAAGATTTTGGTCAGACGTAACAAAAATGGACCCTGTGGTGTTGAATATTGTGTTTTTACATTGTGTTATTTGGTGGCTTTTATATTTGAGAAAGGAAGCAGCAGAGAGCCACATCACAATGCACAACCACGGATTACGGTTTGGCTTGTTTTTTTACTAGGCTACACTGATGGTAATGTCAGTCCGTTTGTTTTCAGTGACTACTGTAGATATACTCACATTTATCCTAATGGTTGCGGTGATCCCCTCACATCTTTATATAATGAATTACAAGCTTATTTTTTTCAGCTGACCATAAACCAAATATGTCCAAAGTGGGCTGAAAAACTAAGCTAAAGCTAGAGTGCCAAAAAGTGCACTACATTAAATAGCTTTGTCTTGATATCCCTGTTTGTGTGATGTACCATTACACTTTATGGATGCACCTTACTCATGTCTCAATCACACTAGAGTATAAACAGCATGGCATTTGCCTTTTGACTAGGAAAACTGTGATTTCCCAGTGTCTGCCGGGAAGTAGTTAAGGTCGTTACGGACCAACCAGATGTTGTCTGTGCAGGGCCTTCAACCTCCGGACAGCCACTTTGATCACAAGGTGATTGTACATATCAGCTGGTAGGAGGTAACCAAACAACCATGGGCTGACTCGGGCTGACTGCAATCACTCTCAGACAGATAATAACTGGCAATAATAGCAGAATAATTTCTAAACACGGGCAGACTGCCACCAAGTAGCAGTCAGTTAGATTTCTGCATGTGTAAAACAGATTTTTGATAGATGACAATAAATTTGCAACTATCCCAGTTAATCCACATGTTACAACAAACAGATTATGTTTAATTTCCAATTACTGATCCGATTACTCTGCATTGATCCCATTCAAATGCAGAATGATAGCTGACAGACATAACATCTTATTGCTGTTTTTTACCATTAACACACAAACAGCAACTGACTGTGAGTATTAGCACTAACCACAGCATGCACTAATCAAGATGGCTGCTGTGCACTGTTAGAATAAAACATTAAATATCAATCGCCACCATTCAAAGGAAATCTGGTCAAAGAGAATCTCAGTTTTG